TTATGGGTTTCTGTAAAGAATATCCTAGGTACCTGGTAGGTTAAATTTCTCAAATTCACCCAGAGTTAGACTCAGACTGAACAGTTCTAGTTGAGATGATAAAATAGTAGTCTTGGTTCACTAGCTGAGAAAAGTTTAATTGTGCAATTTCTGAGGAACTGGCAAGATCCTAAAGACTGTTAACATGGCTACCTATTGGTTAGTGAAAGCCTCCCAGAAGATAAGTGATTGGGTCCATTGTATAGTTACAGCTTCTTTTAAAGATGGGGAAGTATATATCCTCAAGAAGCACACACTGAATCCAATGGCTCTTGACAAATTTTGTCCAGGTTTAAACCTCTCCTTTCTGACAAAGTTTGAAAAGAACATAGTCAATCTGTAGCTTTAGAGAACCCTGGAATAAATGGATAGACCGTTTTTGTTGAGTTTTAGGTTGGAACATAAGGTGGAGATTGTACTGTCTGCATTTGTGGTGATGGTTCTTCTCCTTTCTCCATATTAGTTTCAATCTATACTGATAGGATGGAAATGATAGAATTCAAAGCCATTTAATGTATTAATGGAATGCCACAGGACTCAATGTTCTTACCCCTACATGATATTGCTGAACAATGTCATCCATTGGTTTAGAGGCATCAATAGTATGCCAATTATACTCAGATGTTTTTCCCAAATCAAGGCTGGCCAAGGGTACAAGTTCTTGTTCCAATGCCTGAAAGCTGTCAGGCTCTGGATGGGAAGGAGCAGGTTCATGTCCAACCCTAATAATGACTATGGGTGTAGGTTAGATTTGGGGGATGTTCTCCCTTAGTTCTGATTGGGAGTCACACTTCTCCTTTCAGGGCTGATGTACAATTTAGATTAGCTAGAAAACAGAAAATCATTGGATTTCTTGCTTTCTAGCTAATCTAAAAGCAGAGCTGAACCTTCCTTAGGACTGAAGTTTCTATTTTTCAGTGCAGACTCAGGCAATAAATTGCAAAAAGGTAGATCTCTGGGTGAATCTGTGATTCTGGGAGCAACTCAATCTGCCTGCCTGCTTTGGCTGATTTTGGGTAAAAGTTGCTCTTTTTTAAATAAAAAATTCAATGTTTACATAAATATTTACAATATTTACATACAAGCCACGCCCAGCCAGCCTCATGACCAAGACATGACCAGTTAGCAAGCCACACCCATCCAGTCATGTGACCACTAAGCCACACCCACAAATTAGACCATGCCGACAGAACCAGTTGTTAAGAAATTTGAATCCCAACCCTGCCTTCTGTGAATGCATTATGGCTAGAATATATTTATATGAAAGCTGATATTCAGTTTTATCAAAAAATGTGTTGCCAGAAGTTTCTCAAGTCATAAGTTTCTGTGTCTGTGAATTAATTGAATTTAATAAAAATACTGCAAATATAAATCTAGACCTGAAATACTGGCAAAGGGGAAAATAAGGTTATAAAAATGAACGTAAAAGTAAATAAAGTGCTGTTTTGAGGGTGAAGGTTCATTCTGCGAACTTGTTGGTTGGTTTCTGAACGTTTCATTACCAGGCTAGGTAACATCTTCAGCAGAGTTTAGGGGATGCCAGTAGCAGTGTTCTTCTGTTGTTTCTGTTTTAGCTATTATATTGACATAAATTCCAAACTAATCATAAGTTCCTATGCACTGTACTAGAATAATTCACATGTTGCACTATACATGAGTCATGAATCATGACATACTATAAGAACCTGTGGAGAATATCAGAGGAATATGAGTTCCTGTATGTAAGCTTCTGTGTGGTCAACTTCAACTGATTTTAGCAGCCCAGTATGTGGATTTTAAAATAAGCCATGTCTGCTACTTATTTCTTTGAAAAGTGCTGTGAGCTCAGCAAGAATGGCAAAAGCTATGTTTCCACCGATGACACAATAAGCTCAAGTGAGAAACAAGTGAATCAAGATATAATAAAGTGGGATTAGCTGTACCTTAAGTATTTATTTATTTAATTGATATTGCCGCCTTGAGGCGGCTTACCCAATGTAAAATCATATTTAAAACAAAAAATAAAAACAATAAAAACTAACAAAAATAATCAAATAAATTAATAAATACAATAGAACAAAATCTGGAAAAATAAAAAAATCACCCCCCAACTCCCACCCACCCCGCCCCGACGACAGCAGATCACACTAGCCATTTGATGGGCTCCATCTTGGTCTGGGTTCTCCAGGCCCGTTGGCAAAACCAGGTCTTCAGTGCCTTCCGAAAGAATGCTAGAGTGGGGGCCATTCTAATCTCTGGGGGAATGATATTCCAGAGAGAGGGAGCCACCACGGAGAAGGCTCTTCTTCTGGGTCCCACCAGGTATTTCTCCCTCAGAGATGGGACCCACAACATTCTCTGCCTCCCCGCTCTAATGGGTCAGGTAGATATGACCGACAAGAGACATTCCCTCAGATAACCCAGTCCCAAGACATGAAGGGCTTTAAAGATGACAACCAGCACCTTGAATTGCACCCGGAAGCAAATTGGCAAGCAATGCAGCTCCTGCAGGAGAGGTGACACATGTGCACACCAGGGTCTGCACAAAATCAAGCAGCCACTGCATTTTGCACCAACTGGAGCTTCCAGAAGATCTTCAACGGCAGCCCCATGTAGAGCGCATTGCAATAATCAGGATGGGAAGTGACTAGGGCATGAGTGACTGTGAATAGGGACCATTGGTCCAGGAAAGGCCATAACTAGTGCACAACCTGAAGTTGCGCAAAGGCCACGACCGCCACCTGCTCTTCGATCAGGAGTCTTGAGTCTAGGAAAACCTTAGATTATGCACAGGGTCTGTTTGGGATAAGACCATCTAAGACCAAAGGTGGCAATTCTCCCTGAGACAACGAATCCCAAACTCAGAGCCACTCAGTCTTGCAAGGGTTTAGTTTTAACCTGAAATAGCCCTCCTCAAGCTGTGCGCTTCAAACGTATGGGAAGTACAACTCCCAGAATTACCTTTCAGAGTGAGATCCAGAATTTTTTGGTCTTTACCATCCCAATCTGCCTGAAGAAAGAGAGAGGGGGGGTGGCCTGCTTGCTTGGGAATGCCGGAGCTGGTAGTTCAGCAGCAGTCCGGAGCTAACAGTCTAACGGGAAGGCTCCCTAGTGGCTTATATTCAGGGTATTACTGCAATGTTTGCCTGAAGGTGCTGGACCTCAGTAGCTGTCATGGGTGATCCAAAGATGCTTGGCAGGCAGCCACGTTGAGTTCAGGGTAGTCCTCTGAGAGACTGGCCGCCAGAAGATGGTGCTGTTACATCAACGTAGTCACAATAGGATTGGGTATCTCCACCAAGTGGCAGTTAGTGATAGAAACCAGCGCCTGGCGCAGCTGCCTTTGTAAAAAGCCCACGGAATTTCCTTGCACTGGAAAGTTCTTATTGCTCCCCCAATCAATGAAGGGCTCTGCTTAATGATTGTATTGCTGATCCCATTTGTCATCACATGAAGATTGCATGCACCTTGTAGGTATTTTTGTTTATATTGTGTTATTCATAACCTTACCAGAATGGTTATGTTCCAAATCTTTTATAGTCAATCATTCTGCTATAAGAATAATTCTAACTTAAACTGGTTTTGTTGTGATATGCATTTAGGATGTCATAGTGGTGCCAGCTGATATATTTGAGCAAATTAGAATAATCTTCATTTTCATTGGGTTTACTCCATTTAAGCTTCACTGAGTATCTATATCCAGGAGTACTTTTAATCTGCTGATAAACTGTCAGAACTCCTACTTGTTGAATGATCTATGCACAGTAATTGTCTTTATCACAGACTGCAATATTACTACCTAAAAAATTTATATTGCAGCAGTCCATTCATTATAAGGGATCCTAATTAGAATCCTATATATTTTGCATGAGGCAATCTGTAACCACTATATACTGCTGTTTGGCCTGATTCAAGTTTCTAACTTTGTTCTTCAAAACTAAGGGTAACTGGCAATCTTTTTGAATTACATTTCTTCTGTGTCTAGAGGAGCCACATAAAAAAAGAGAAAGGTAGAACCAAGAGATAAACATCTTGAGAATCCTTTCCAGCTGATTGGTTGCTTCCTTCTATCTCTATATTTGTCTCCTTTTCTCCACCCATAATTTCCTCCTCCCTCACCTGCCCTACTCTCACCACATCTTCCTCTTCCTGCCAGTGTCATCATCCGCTGCTCTTCCTGTCACTTTGTTCTGTTTTATATATATATTGCAGGTGTCAGGTCTTCTTGGTGGTTGCCCCCATTTGGCAACACCTTGTGTTTTGAGTTACTGAATCCCCTGGACTCACTTAAAATCTTGCTATTCCACAGAAGATTTGGATCTAATGGAGTATGGGCTACAATGCAGTTGGTATAACACTGCGGAGCACACACACAGCTCCATTTGAGTGGCCACTTCCGTGGCTTGAGGGTTGGGGACCCCTGCAGTAAAGACTTGGTGGTAATCTTGTGTAAGATTGTGGTGTTTATGAGACAGAAGTACTTTCCAAAAAGATGGGTGCCTTTGATCAAGCTAGTGTGATTGCTTAGTACTTTCTATTACACATTGTATAGGGCTGTGATGGTAAACCTATGGCACGCATGCCAAAAGTAGCATGAGGAGCCTCTTCTGCCGGCACGTGAGAGGTCACCTGGAAGAGCGCCACTATGCATTCACGCACACTGCCCACCCACCAGGAGGGGTGGGGTATGCAGGAGATGCGCACGCACTCACAGAGACACATGGTGCGCATGGGGGATTGTGCATGCATGTGCAGGTGGAGGGGGGGCATGTGAGCGAGCGCGTGCAATTTTTGGCACAGGAGACCAAAAAGGTTAGCCACCACTGGTATATGGCAAATGTAGGAAAGGTGGGGAAGAGGACAATATAACTTTCTGAAGAGTATTTCAGTTTCAGATTAGAGCCAAACATAAATACACACTTTGTGTCACATATTGATAGCTGTGGACTGGGATATTTTACAGAGGTAAACTGAAAGCAGTGGTACCCATAGAAAGCACATTGATGTGAAATGATGATATATATGATAATGTGGTCATGCAAATGCTGCCAAAAACATCAGTTTAAAATATGACCGTTTATTGACAGTTTATTAAGTGCATACAAAAGCAAAAAAAGCCACATGGTATTAGGTTTAAAGAATGATATTAGGGCATGGTGGGGAAAAAATAAAATTGGATAAAGCCAGTGTGAGAAATATGCCTGAAAGAAAGATTTATTTATTTATTCATTTCCTGCCTTATTTATTTTTGTAAATAATTCAAGGTGATGAACACACCTAATAGTTTTTCAGCCTATCTTTCCTAATTTCACAATAAAGATTTTAGTTAAGTACATAGAAAATAAAAATGGATCCTAGTGTTATTCTGTCAGTCAGTCATATGGACATTGCTGGATGTCAGCTACTGAAAGGCTGAACTGACATCAGTGTCTGTCATTCATATGCATTAACAGGACCACAAAAACTTAAATAATCTATAATGACAGTTATACCTAATAATTGTACAAATGAATTTGTTTTGGATCAGCATCCTCCTGTTTATGTTTTGACAGATGCATTGGTGACAATTGATTATTTGGTTAGATTGGCTAGGGATCTGTAGTTAAAAAGATTCTGAAGGTGCCACATTGTACCTGGCTATTTTGTCATCCTTCTGTAGATCTGTTCAGTTTCTAGTGAGCCTTTTTAAATTTCCTGTACAAAACCATATCCCATGAAAAATGAATTGTTACTAGCAACTTTTCTCTTAGTTTTGCACTGAAATTACATGACAGTCCCAATTCTTTTTTTTTCTTTTTCTTTTGGTACTGTATTGATTTCCATTGCTATTTTTTATTGTTTCTCCCTTCCCTCCTTTTTTTAAAAAGAAGATTTGATATTTGTATGAAATTATATTGTTATTATTGTTTCTAAACAAAATGGAATCATATGGTAAATATATATTTTATCAGGTTAGCTTCTTAAATTGGTAGATGCACTTAAGTAACACATGTGAATATTCATATGCACATTTTCTACAGCATATATTTCTAAATAAATAATTCTGCAATAGTGGAGCTCCTCTGTATTTGGCGATGATCACCAAAGGGCAGGAATGCTAGGTTTCTCTGCTGCCATCAACTTCTTGTTTACATATTTGCAGAATTCCAAAGTATGATTCATGATTCCAGAAGCTTGAAAAGTATAAAAGATTAGGAAACTTGTAGCCAGGTTGAAAAACGTGCAAAAAAAGACCCTAATATTAAAAAACCCACCTCAACAGTTATACATTGTTTATTATAAAAATCTTATTAACTTACTATTAATTCCTATAGCCACATGAAGGATATATTTGGCCACAAAGATATTTTGGCCAGAACATGTAGCGCTTATTGAATGGTGCAAATCTCCAACACCAAGCTGCTTCTTTGTCGCACTGGCAAATTATGTTTTGACATCTGTCTAGAACAGCATCTAAAAAAGGAATGAAGAAGATACTACTCTGGTTATGATGAAGTAGAGCACAAAACAAATTAGTCCTGCTTATCTATGAAACTGGCATTTATTAAGATGTATAATCTTAAAAGATAAAGGATTGTTTTGTTTGAAACTTTTTTGAACAGCTCAAAATGATTAAAATAAAATTCATATTGTTTGAAAGCCATTTGGGACATTAAAAACAAACAAAATTCATGATTGTGGATTAAAGCATTGGCTGAATATAACAAGTATGCATTAACCTACTATATCTTACATGTATGTTTCAATGTGTATGCTAAAATAACGTACTGTATACTCCATGTTCATTTCTTTTTATTAAGCTCTATGTCACATATCCTCTTTTAAAGCAAACATTTTTCTAGGCCTTTTTATCAGGTTGCAATTTAGGAATCAAGAGAGTCATTCTGACAGCAGTGTCTCAGCAAAGACTACTCTCCAAAAATCTAAACTTCTGAGTAATATGAAGTATGAAAAAGAAAATACTTTCACTAAGTGGGCAAAGGATTCTAACCCTTGGTGCTCTTCTGTACTGTAATTTTTAAGAAATCCATAGTCATGGTACTCTGTGCAATGGCACAGTGGTTAGAAAGCAGTATTACAGCTAATTCTGCCCACAGACAAAACTTTGATCCTGACCAGCTCAAGGCTGACTCAGCCTTCCATCCTTCTGAGATCAGTAAAATGAGGACCCAGATATTTGGGGGCAATTTGCTGACACTGGAAACAGCTCAGGAAGTGCTGTAAAGCACTTCGGAATAGTAGATAACTCTTAAGTGCTCTTGCTGTTATGGTGGTTGATGATCAAGAGCTGCCCTTTAGATCGAGAGTGTCCAAGAACAAGGGTCATAGTAGGCATGGCTCTGCATAGGGCTGAGGTTTTGCAGAGTTTTCAGACCTGGTTTTTTTTTAAGTTCTGTTCAGCCTATTTTGAAGCATATCTTACAATTTCAATATGTCATGAACTCAAAGAAACAACACTGTATCACTATTTTTAACCATCACAGTGATGGTTACAATGAATGGCCTGCACCTCTGAAATAACTTGATTTTCTGTCTGAAACTTCACCCTTCCATCTTCAAACTACAGACCTTGGAAAACCGACAACATGCTACAAATAGCTTGATGAAAGGTACATGGCATTAAGTTAGCACAAGGCAGTATATATCTGTATTCAATATTCAGTACAGCCGTTTTCCCACCAGTAGTCTATACACAAAGATTGAAACTGCTTTAAGTTAAGGTCAAAGCCCAATAGTGGCCTAGCATGATCTAGCACCATGCTTAGCAAAATGGAAAAAACAAAACAAAATGATACTCTTGCTAGTAGGCATAGGATAGCAGTATATTACTGTTGGTCAAACCTCATTCGAATGAGTTAATTAAAATGTCCAACATCAAAATCAATACCCTTTCACAATCACTTTTAACCCAGAGAAAGGTTTAATTCAATTACTATTACATTGTATTTTTATAAGCTGAATCTTCAGGCAACTATGAGATATTGTGGTAGTATTAAAGTTGTTTAAAACAGTCTGCTTAAAACAGTGTTATGAATCTTTGAAGATATCTCAAATACCAATAGGACCTTCTGAAATTAAAGCTGAATGTTTCACTTCTAGAATATCTTATGTACTTGTACCGCTCTAAGATAAGGTTTATAAAAATAATGACATTCAGGTTGTACCTTACCACATATCACAGTATTGTTCTGACAAGTCCACTTATATCTGTCTGTTATGGGGTCACAGCCTTGTCGTTGTGCAAAGTCATAACAGCAGTCATGTCTATGGCAGCACCTTTCAGCGACAGAGAATGATTAATACCATTGATGTGAGCCCTGAGCATCAAACAGAATGTGAAACTCTATCTCTAGTTTTACAGTGTTCTGGTGTGTGAGACATTTACAGGCCCAATCAAATACTTCCATGAAGCTAATTGCAGTCTGGATATTTTAAGTAATTACTTCTCTGAAGTTTCTAGGAAAACACAGCAAAGGAAATTTGATGTTTATAAATATATATTGTGTATATATCTAGGCTGAAAATGTTAGTAATAATTCAAAATAAATACATTTCTAGTTCCACTGCAACAAGAGATCACATGGGCGTACCTTTTGTTCTATTGCATTCTCAATTTAGCAACATTATGATGTCATCCAGCACAATAAGGGACAGGGTTTATACTAATCATATCATGTTACTGTTCCGAGTACTCAGTTATTTTGTTACTTGTTTCATTTTTTTTTATCTCATGATACCATTATTTTTCCATATATAACTGTCTCAAAGTAAATTTGACCTCATTTAAAATGTATTAAATAGAGTGGGATTAATTCAGTTGAAGAATGTAATGGGAATACAAACTTAATAGAGAAAGAAGTGCCGTACATACCAATCTGTTTCATCCTTGGGCCATCCGCTTCCTCCTGGACCACAATAGCATCCGTAACCTACATAGGCCAAAGGAAATCGGCTGGTACCACATTTTAGGGTTCCATATAATTCAATGAGTCCTCTTTTATTCACCAAGTGTTTTTTTCCAAGAACACCATTCCATACTGCAAAGGCAGAAAATGAGATGTTACTACATAGGTGTAGTACCATCCAATAGTTACTTTATCTCTTTTCACACAATCTGCTTCTGCATTAATATATATATTATATTGTATTTGGCTGGAGCATTGGACAGCTGTTAGAAAGAAGAGGGAGTTTAAGCTTTGGGTTGTGTTATCTCTCACGTTTGAGATTATCTTAACCTTATTATAGAATTTAACTATAAATTGAAGTAAGTATTATGGTATTTAAAATAACCAACTTGAAATAGTACTTTAGTATGACCATTAAATGTGAAGCAATAGGAGAAAGACATTTTAGACAGAAAAGGAGGATATTATAAATAAGGAAATGGAAGTCACAATCAACTTTTTGTGTCATTCCCAACTTCCACTGGCATATGGTCCCCATCAGATATCATAGGGCAGTGGTGGCTATCCTCTTTCGGCTCCTGTGTCAATAATTAACCCAGAAGGCAATACATGCTGGGGCCCCTCCCACACCCTCTGCGCATGCGCATGCAATCTCCCATGTGCCACACATCTCTGTACATGTGCATGCAACCCCTGGTGTGTCATGCATCTGCGCATGCGTGCATGATCTCCCCGCGTGCCGTGCATCTTTGCGCATGCGTGTGATTCCCTGCACATGTGCGCCAGATTCCTGACAATCAACTGTCGGGGGAGGCAGCGCTCTTGCATGCCAGCAGAAGTGGCTCTGCATGACACTTCCGGCACATGTGCCATAGGTTCGCCAACGTGGTCATAGGAAAATGCAGCTCTTTCAGAAAGTAAATTGCCCATCTATATCCTCAATATTGCTCAAATCTTCATACAAAAAGTTGCACAGCAACATTGCTATTTTGGAGGAACCAACTTCTTACTTTCCATTCAATAGCTTTCAACGAACTCCCTTCCTGCATTAGGTGATGAAAGATAAACAGAGTTTCAAGGCACTCCTTACAGGCTATATGAATATACTGTTTTATCTCACAACATTTGCTATGAACAATGTGCATTAATTTTAAGTATGCACAGGTATCAAGAAATATGAAAATTAAAACCATGTTAGGAGCGCAGCAAATTAATGGAAAACACAACAAAGTAGAAAGGGCAAGCTTTCAATCTCCTGATTTGAACAGAATTCTTTGCCATTTATCTTGGGCACATTTTCAAGACAAAAACAAAATTCCAAACTGAAGAATTGTTTTAAAATTGACTTGCTTTTGTTTCCCAGGACATTCTTTGACTATCAAATATGCATAACCGAAAATACAATATTATATTTTTATTATATAGTATTCAGCATTAATTTTAAAACTAAAGACAAATATGTGGTTTTTGTTGTAAGAAGAAAATAAAAAACTTAGTAGCAACCTCCAAGTCCTAACAGGCAGGCATACGCTTATACAGAAACCGTCTACTTCTACTTAAAGCTTGGTTCCTCCAACCCCTGGTCTGTGGAGCAGCACCGGGCCACAGCCTACCAGAAACCGGGCTACGCAAACAAGCAAAACCCCATCCACGAGATGCAGACTGCATGTGAAACTACGCCCCCTCCAGTCCGTAGAAAAACCTCTTCCCATGGAACCGGTCCAGGGTGCCCAGAAGGTTGGGAACCATTGACTTAAAGCATATTAAGGCATTATATTAAAGCATTAAAACTTTAATGCATAAAAATATAAATTTCAGAATTGCTCAAAAATCATTCTATCTCACAGATAGAAAAATACATGTGTGTGTGTGTGTCTGTGTGTGTGTCTGTGTAGAATCTCAAAGCCTAGAAAAATCTTTCAATTTATTAAAAGAATTATATACACATTAAGAAAGGCAAAGTGATAAATTATTAGGACTGAATTCTGTCTGTGAATATTTACATATTTCAAATCACAGCTTTTGGCCTCCAAAGAATTAAAAAGGAACTATGGCCAAAAAAATTTTTTTACTGATTCCTGCCACCCATCAGTAAAATCAACTATCATTCCAGAAAAATGTCAGTCACATTTTAAACACTAAGTGCAGTTTCACAATTGACTATTGTGTTACAGTATTTATTCAGCAAAACAGTTTTGCTGAAACCTTAGAAAAGGGGTGTCAAACACAAGACCCAGGGGCCATATCTGACCCATGGGGTGCTTAGATCTGGCCCGTGGGGCTACCCTGAAACAGCAAAGGACTGGCCTGTGATGCCTCTGCCAATGAAAATGGAGTTTGGGCAATGCGGCAGGCAGCCCTCCCGAACTCTGTTTTCGCTGGCAAAGGGTTGCAGGAGAGCGTCGCAGGCAAAAACAGAGCTCGAGAGCCCGTTTTCACTGGAAGAGTTTTCGGGCCATCACAGGCACCACCGACACGAGTGACATTGAGCTGGCCATGCTCATCCTGGCCACGCCCAACCCTAATACCTAATTCATTAGCCACTTCCAAAGTCACATACCACCATTGGAGCTCCAGGCCATTTGGCACAGCCATGTCTTCAAGGCCTTTCAGAAGGCCAAAAAGGGTGGCTGTGAATCTCACCTCGGGGCATGATGTTCTATAGAGTGGCAGTTATGACAGAAAGAGGTGGTATTTGCTGGTTGTCCAAACCAGTCAAAATTTCTGCTACCGGTATGCCAGAACCAGTCCGAACTGGCTGAATACCACCTCTGGTCCCACCAGTGTGAGCCAGTTCCTCCACAGCCTACGTATAAAATAAACCTTTCTACAGAAACATCACTGCAGGAGGATTGAAAAAAAATAAAGTGATATTTAAAAGATTCACAAATACACAAAAAAGTGGGAGATATTTTCAGCTATGAGAATTGTTATATGCCCTTGTGCTGAAATACCTATTGAATTAGTTCCACCAAAGTGATTTTAATTGTCTAATAAAATGTTTAGCTGTAACACCCACTTAACTGAAATAAGTACAATCTTCAAGTAGCAAGTCGTCATCTCAGTTGCAAGTTTTCACACTTATAAACAAAGCAAATGTACATATTCCCTTACTATTTAAATGCTCAAAGAAATTATTATGACATTATTAAGCATTGTTGTGACTGAGGACAATATAAAAAAGTGTGCTTATCTATCCACGTCTTTCTTGATTCATTTGAATTTAACAGAAATTTAAGACTCATGTAATGCATTAAGTGAGAAAAACAGAAGGAGAAAAGGATTGGAATTTCAGGCCGACATCTAACATCATTTAACATTTCATTTGCACTCACCTGCTTGAAACAGCAGCAGTGTTACCAGCCTGCATTCCATGTGGAGAGCAACTCCGTATGACCCCACTCTGTCTGCACACCTACAATCTGTTTAGACTCTCCCTGTAAGTTCTGCTGTCAAACTGAGCCAAGCAGTGGGTGTATATAAACAGTCTTATTGGATGCTCCTTTATAGTCTACTCTGAAAAATAAATATATGATTCTGTAAATTTCAAACATTTCCTTCTGAGCAAAAAGAGATCATTATTCAGAGGCTTGTGGAAGGACAGTTGTCTGATGCCAGGGCTTCTATTTGCAGATTGTTCCTTTCATCAAGTCTTATTAAAAGGGAATTTGACTGAATCTACTGGACAGGTTGACAAATTACAACCACAAAGCTGGTGTTCTGACTTCACTATTTGTTTCACAACTCTTAGTATTAAAAGACTTAACTTTTATGTAACAGGTATTAGCAGCATTTAAGCTAAAGAACTATTAAAATAAATATCTTTTGTCTTAATGCTTGCAATTTTAGCAAGCTGTTTAAAGTGAAAAATGTCATTCAAAATCTTTTTTGAATATTAATTCAAAATTATTGAGGTTCTTTATATGCCATGGGGCTCATAGAAACACCTTATTTTTGTTTGGGATTTTCCTTCCTCCGCGACAGCCATTTTGTGAAAGAACAAGCCCTCTTCCATGAAGGACATCATGAAAGTCCATATGATTGAATGTTCCAGTCTATCTCTCCTGTAATGGGGCTGACAACGTATCCTTCCTTGGAGCCAGCTATTTCTAATCCATTAAGTTTAATATTCTTCAAGGAGAATTGTTAATTACTTTATTGGTTAAATGAGATGTATGGTATTGATTTGTTTCTTCAATTCTGCCAAAATGAAAAAAAGATCAATATAATTTGGAGGAACAAAATATACATTTAAGCATTGCACAGATTAAAGCAACCACTTTGCCCCTAAAAATCTTTTCTTTCCAACACAAAAAACTCTTTAAAAAAATAAGCACCACTCCGTTTAAGGGAGTTCTTGGAGCCCAAAGAGATCCTGGGGTCCATATCCTGCTAACTCCTGTTCTTCAACTTAACATTTCCTGAAATATAATCCTTGTCTCCATATGGCTTTGAGAGTGTTTAGCTCTTTAATTTGGCCACAAATTAAAATTACTTTCATTTTTTAAATATGTTAGTGCCTCGTATGAATTACTAAGTAACCTTTCAGGGTTTTTAAATATGCTGTGAAATTTTGTTTTAAATAATCTCCAAAAATGTTGGAGTGATACCCTCTTAATTCTCTGTGATGACTTGGGGCGTGGCACAAAGGCAACACAGTCAGATAAGCAATCAGACTCCCTTTATTATCTCCAACTTTGCCCACAATGTCCAGGTTATCTTCTGGCTGGAGAAAAATTCTCCCAGGAAAAGCCTTTGACTACAGAAAATTAAGTCCAAAACACGAGCAACACAAACTGTAACTTAAAGTCCAAATAAACCAAACTGAAGTAATTAGTTTGGCAGGGCAGGAGCAAGAATTTCAGACTTGAAGTCATGGCAAAACTCACACGGTTGGGAAGACTCCAGGAACACAGATAAGCCACGACAACACAGGATAAAGTCACATTTAATCCCAGCAGCCTGCCGCATGCAGCCTGCCTTTCTTATCAACTGTCTTCCCAGCTGTGGCTAATGAAGGGAACCAGGGTCCTCTCCTCCCTCGTAAGCCACGCAAACCATGTTGTTCTCTTCTCCGTTCCTCCCTGCGTACCTAGGATGAAGAGGGGATGGGCTTGGTTCTTCCTCTAAACTCCCTCTCCCTTGTTCTATCTCTCCTCTGCCCAGCCAGACTTTGCCCTTGCCCAGCCTCTCCACAGCCAATGGAGCCACACTCTCACTCCCTGTCAGCTGTCTGGCTTCCTCCTTGGATTCAGACTCCAACGGGCATGACACCTGCTTTTCAGTGGAGGTTTACTTGTATTTCACTGCCAGGAACGTTTTGTTCTGAAGTCTCTACCGGTTGGCTATACTGTGTACCCAGGGCTCACTTGGCCATGATAATGTATATAGAAATGAATCTCAAGTTTAGGGGAGTGGATCAGTCTATCTATGGTATCTAAATGTAAAAAAGATAAAAACTAATAGATGCTAACACAAAGTAATAAAAAGAAAAAAGATACAAAGAAGTAGCTTCCAATCTTTAGAGCAATTAATGGTACAATTATAAATTTATCTCTTGCAATGGAGTGTAACATAGTGTACTTAAAATTATAATCTCAGAATTAATGAGTATGTTTGATTTATTTCAGGTACAAACTGTACAATTGTCCATAAATTCCAGTGATCCAGAATATAAAAATATCTATTCAGAAGTTAGATATTTCTTGCCTTGTGAACAAAAGTCACAAGACAAAAAAGAGTCAGTTTGGTCTAGTGATTAAGGCACCAGGATAAAAACTGGGAGTCTGTGAGTTCTAGTTCTGCCTTAGACATCAAAACTGCCTGGACAACTTGGCAAGACATTCTCTTTTAGTCCAACCCTCCTTGCAGGGTTGTTGTTGTGGAGAAAATAATAAAGGTGGGATAAAAAAAATCTAAAATAAAAAGCAATATAAAACAATAAAGGTAAATTAGTAGGAAAACAACACCTAGTCTCCCATCTCTCTAGAGTAGCCATCTTAAACAATGACTTCATATAAAATATAACAGTGAAATTATTCCTGTTTCTCAACAAAGAGACACACTAATATTAAATATTACTAAGTTTACATTTTCTCCAAGGCAGAAAGAAGATTGACTTAATTAAACAGCTGTAACATAACACACATCCTTGAATAAAAAAGCACTTCTCTAAAATTAAGGGGGGAGGGAGTGAATTTACCCGGAAGCTCCAAACTGCACTCCAGTTCTACAGAGATGTGAGCTGCATTTTCTCAGTGCAAACATTAAGATTCTCTTCTTTATCCACCAGTGTTTGACTGATGAGGCCATGATATGCTTCATGAAGGGCCTGCTGAACAAGGAATATAATTTTAATGAGGTAAATAAAATGAGAGGATCAAAGAATAGTAAAATCATTCCATCTTTCACAGTATCCAATACAACTGATGAAGCTTCCAGAATAGGAAGTGAAATGTCTTTGCTTTTTCCTCAAAAATCTGTCGTTTCCTTTTCAAAATAAAAACTTTTGATACAATTATGACCTTGAAAACTGAGAATCTTCATAGACCTTTGATAAAAGAATAAGCATCCTTTTCTCTCTTGGTTCAAGCATTTAATAGGTTTTTCTCCCCCTTTAATGCATTTTATTATTCTTGTATATAATCAACAGACTACTAAGTGCCATCTTTTAATTGTTTATCTTCAATTTTATTCCATTCTCCCTAGGTTAGAGCATTGAATGGGTTTTTCTCCTCTGGTTTAATGCATTTTGTTATTCTTCTATATAATCCACCATCTACTAAGTTATATATTTGTATTTTAATTGTTTTCCACAGTTGTTTATCTTCAATTTAATTTGTATTTTTTGGTACAAATTGAAAGGTTTTCATAGTTTATGGTAGTATCAGGTGAATAAGCGAAATAAACAGCTGGACAAATACATTTTCTTTCTAGACTCCAAGTTATTTTGGACAATCAAAAGCTAAAAGAGTGTGAGCATATCTACACACAAACCATACTTTACATCTCAAAGAAAGGAGAGTTTTACATGTACCAGTTAAGCTTGCAAAACCTTTAGAATCAAAGTATTCTAAATCACATCATAGCCTTTACTTTAAGAGTAAAGTAACAAAAGTACAACCCGGCAAAACCTCTGCATTTTTGTCAAGGCAAGAAAGGCCCAAGGAATTCTTCCCATTCCCCATCTGACTGATGACAGAAAATCTGCCCCTTTTAAAATATGCACCGTTTTCTTTAGTTCGTTGTGCTATATATTCAGAAGGGAGGGGTGAATGAGAGTTGAGGCCTGGCCAATGGGACAAGAAAAGTTTTGGCGATCCTAGCCAGTGACGGGAAAAGCTTATGAGAAACAACTTTCTGCCTTTTTCTTTTAGGTCTCCCCCGCTTTTTCAGCAACCGTCGCCAGGAGACAGAAACGCAGCAGCGGACAGAGGCGACTGAGAAGAGAGACTTCCCACCTTGCATATCCAAAGACCATCAGTTGTTTTTATTGTACGCTAAATTTTAAATCCACCTGCCCATAAAAAGATGCGGAGTCCCGGGGGGAGGGTGAAGGGGGAAAATGTTGCACTTCTTACCATAGAGAAGAGAAGGATACGACCCTCAAGCAGACCCAAGTGCCATTTGCTCGCAATACTTCTCTTCCCTGCAACTTAAAGCGCCAGCAGCACCCAAGCAGAGCAACCACGCATGAGCTCTCCCTTTATTGTTGCAGTATCTACCTTCAGGAACTGGAGTGTGTTGACCAGAATAGATCCTTTAGATATGAACAGCCCCAACGCTGCTCTCCTACAGGCAAGCCTTAAATATCAAAATTGGACTATATGACTGGCTCCAGTGGTGGTATTCTAGCGGTTAAGCCCGGTTCTGCCAAGCCGGTAGCACCGATGAACAGTGGAGACGAAATGGTTCCCTCCGCCACTCTGCTGTTGGGTCCACCCACCCAGCCCAGATACCATACTCACCTTTATTCTCTGCTTTTGAAGTGCAGCTGCTTTGCACGGCACAGCAGAGTGCCACCTAGCAGCTGCTGAAGCGACCGGGAGAGTGCAAGCTTGCAGGAGGTAAGTTGGAATGCCTCTGATCCTGCACAAAGTGTGCTTTTGGTGTGCGCGCACACGCAAAGTGTGTGCACGTGCACAAAGCATGCCCACCAAGCCATGCCCACTGAACAGGTGGTAAAACTTTTTGAACCCCACCACTGACTGGCTCTTTTGGGGAGAAGAGGAAGTGGCACATGTCATGGGTTGTTCTCTCTAGGTTAAGTATTTTTCCTCCCTCAATGATTTTCATACATTGTTTCAATTGTTTTTTCCTCAAAATCGTCTAGATATGGAAAGCCTTATAAATTTGATTTATAAATTCTTTCCCTGAAAATAAATTTAGCAGAGCATTTCAAAGACCACTTCCTCCCAGTATTAAGTACTAATCATTCATTGCTGCAACATATTCTTCATATAGGAGCTACAACAGAAAAAAAAGGTTTCTAGGTTTCAAACTACTGAGCAAGAGCCTTTCCTAACCTGGAGTCCCTAGACAGAAGTACAACTTCCCAAATCCCAAGGCAGGGTAGGAAAGGTTAAGAAC